TGGCTTTAGCACACGAGAGCTGCCGTACTGGGGTCAGGGTGGGGTCCCTCCAGCCCAAGCTTCTGCCCAACAGTGGCAAGTAGCAGATGCTTTGGAAGAAGAGTAAGAAATATGTGAAGCGATGCATCCACTCAGGAGAAACTCCGCCAAGCCTAGGGTCAGGGAGGACTGGGTTAGAGAACTTCTGGAGGGATTGGACATGTTCAGATCAGCAGGTCCAGATGCTCTCCACCCCAGGGTGTTGAAGGAATTGGCAGGGGTTATCACGGGGCCCCTGGCATGGCTTTACGAGCACTTGTGGTGCTCTGGCCAGGTGCTGGATGACTGGAAGAGGGCCAATGTGGTCCCCATCTTTAAAAGAGGGAAGAGGGAGGACCCAGGCAACTATAGGTCCGTTGGTTTTACTTCAATCCTGGGGAAGCAATTTGAGAAGATTATCAAGGAGCACATCTGTGATGGGCCAGCAGTGGGGATGATGCTCAAGGGCAACCAGCACGGTTTCATTAGGGGCAGGTCCTGTCAGACCAACCTGATTGCTTTCTACGATCAGGTCACAAAATCATTGGATGCAGGTGTTGCCGTGGATGTAGTCTTTCCGGACTTTAGGAAGGCCTTTGACACTGTCTCCCGCCCCATTCTCATAAAAAGCTAGGTGACTGCGGCATTGATGCCTACACAGTCAGATGGATTGCAAATTGGCTGAGGGGTCGTACTCAGAGTGGTGGTGGATGGGTCATTTTTGACCTGGAGGGAAGTGAGCGTGGGGTCCCCCAGGGCTCGGTCCTTGGGCCCACAATGTTCAATTTCTTTATTAGCGACTTGGACGACGAGGTGAAGAGCAGCCTGTTTAAATCTGCAGACACCAAGATTTGGGGTGAGGTGGGCATGCTAGAAGGGAAGGACAGATTACAGCAGGACCCGGACAGGTTACAGGGATGGGCAAATTAAAATAGGATGGGATTCAATACTGACAAGTGCAGGGTGCTGCACTTGGGCAGTAGGAACCAGTAGCATACCTATAGGCTGGGGGACTCCCTTCTTGAAAGTACGTGGCAGAAAGAGATCTTGGAGACATTAACTCCAAGAGGAACGTGGGCCAACAATGCATGACAAGGGCTAACTGTACCTTGTCATGCATCCACAGATGCATCACAAGCAGGGCCAAGGAGGTGATCCTCCCCCTCTGTGGCCTGACCAGTGTCGCAGTTGGAGTACCGCGTCCAGTTCTGGGCACCGCACTTCAGGAGGGATGTGGACAGCATCGAGACGGTCCAGAGGAGGCCACTCGCATGATCCGGGGACAGCAGGGCAGGCCCTACAAGGAGAGGCGACGGGACCTGAACCTGTTCAGCCTTTGCAAGAAAAAGCTGAGGGGGGACCTGGTGGCTGTCTACAAACTCACTAGGGGGGACCAGCAGGGTTTGGGAGAGACCTTGTTCCCCCGAGCGCCTCCCCGAGTAACAAGGAATAACGGCCATAAGTTGCTAGAGTAGGTTTAGACTAGACGTTAGAAGGCACTACTTCACAGTCAGGGCGGCTAGGATCTGGAACCAACTTCCAAGGGAAGTGGTGATGGCTCCTACCCTGGGGGTCTTTAAGAGGAGGCTTGACATTTTACCTGGCTGGGGTCACTTGAGCCCAGTTTTCTCTCCTGCCCAGGACAGGGGGTCAGACTAGAAGATCTACAAGGTCCTTTCCAACCCTACATCTATGAATCTCATCAAGCCCTTCCCAGTCACCACAGCTGGAGGTATAGGGATGTCGAGAGGCTGAGACTAGGTCTATGCTCCAGATAGACGCATCCTCCGTACATCTGTTAGGTCCAGTGGTTATCAACCTTTCTGGACCCAGGGCACCTCTCCTGAGACTCGAGGTCCCCCTTGGAGCTTGCCAGCTCCTGGCTTTCCCTTGTTTGTAGTAAAAAAAAAAAAAAAAAAAAAAGGTAAGAAAGCAGTCTCTGTTGCAAAGAACTCGGCAAGCCCAGAGCTGGTCAGAATGTTTCTACCACTCTGGATTCCTACTGGCAACCTCTGGGTTTATCTTGTGAATCCTGTCTGCACACCCAACAGTGCTGACATTCAAGGGTGCTGCAGGGTGCCAGGCAAAGGACCTCAAAGCACCCCAGTTGAGAACTGCAGGCCTAATCCCTTTCCTGAGCCTGGTGGTTCTGGTGGTCCCATGTCCTGCGGTGGCAAGTTCCATGAGTTAGTGGGGGGTTCTCTCTGCCCTTCCTGCTGTGCTCAGCCAGCACTGTTCTCTTCTGTTGGCTCCAGCACCTACCGAAGTCCAGGCAGTTCCCAGCCCAGTCCTCAGCCTCGGAGAAGACCCTGCTGGACCACAGTGCCCGAGGCAGCTCCTGCGCTGCAGACCTCAGTGACAGCCCGTCCCCAGGGGAGATCCATGTGGCCAGGCTCCCTCGGAAGAGAAGCAAGGTGTTCTGGCTGCCGGGATGACTACTCTTGTTTCCTTTGACACGTGGGGGGAAGGGTCTGAGCCCAGACCAAAGATGGCTGGATCAGGCAATGCCCAGGGCTGGTAGCTCCCTGGATGTCTGAGGAAGCTGAGTGCCCAAACCTGTACTGGGAATGGGGGTTCGGGTCTCTGTGCGTAGGAATAGGCCGGAGCGCTTTGGCCTCTGCAGGGCTGGGACATTGTCCACTCAGATCTTTGTGTTTCCCGTCTCCCTGATGGCTCCTTCACTCAGCCGTGCGTGTCTGATCTCTTGCAGGGAAAGGGCCGAGTGCGAAGGGCAAGCATCTCGGAGCCCAGTGACACGGAGCACGAGTGCCCAGTGCTACCCCTCTCCACTGGTGAGGCTTCCCTCTCTCCCTGTTGTCCCAGCAGCGGGCACGGGGATTTGCCAATGGTGACTGACTCTGGTCTCTTGGGAATGTCTCTGTGCAGGCCTGGTCATGCAGCACCAGAAGCAGCTGGAGCGCCTGGACAGCTTCCGGGACCGCTTCGGCACAGACTGGCTGCAGTACAAAAGGCACCTGGAGGAGTGCAGCCAAGGGGACCCTGTGGTCCCTCTCAGCCATTCTGCCAATGACGAGGTTCCCGGCAGCCCAGCTGGCACGGACTCGCTGAGTGAGAGTACAGCTCAGGGGCTGGAGACACCCCTGGGGTCGCTGAGGGATGCCTTGCTGCCCTTGGACAGTGCCGGACAGGCGCTGGAGCTACCGTTGGAGCAGTCCTCGGGAGATCAGAGGGCAGAGCTGGAGGCAGATGAACTTGTGCTGAGGGAGGAAGAGGAGGAGAAGCCAGAAGGTAACTGGGTGCTCTCTGGGGAAGCCCATCAGCCTCTCTGCGTATGGCTGTCCCCCGCCAGGCCCTGGGTTGCAACCCAGCACAAGAGCTCAATGCTCGGTGCTCCCCACACCTCATCCCCACCACTGCTCTCCCGCATGGGGCATGGAGCTGTGCCCCAAGGCTGAGCAGGAGCTCACCTGCCACCCTCTTGCCTGGCAGTTGACCTCTGCCAGCCAGTTTTAGTAAGCCAGATTGAAGGTGATGGGGACCCGGAGCCCGACTGGATCTTCCTGCGGGTCACGGCTCAGCATGTGATCGAGGTAGAGCTGAAGGCAGCCAGAGTCCTCCACAAGCTGGAGTTGAGGAGCCTGCAGAAGATAGAGACTTCTGAGATGAACTGGCAAAGGATGGTGAGTTGTCCCTCCACGTGGCAGCTGCTTGTTTTTGCTGGCACTCACCAGCATCTCCACCCTCCCAACAGGGAGGAGCCTTGGAGAGATTCCCACAATCCAGCTCCCCCAGCCCCGGCTCCCACAATCCCAGCTCGTGTACCACTGCGGGGCCTGCATCATGGACCTCTGCAGCATGATGAGCTCATGCAGTGCCCCCATGTGTGGCTGCCAGACTTCTGTCTGCTCGTGGGGCAGAAGCTGCTTTGCTGAGTGATGGGGCTGCTCTGACTTCCTGCAGTTGGAGCTACATGGGCTCTGCGGGGGTGGGGGGGCGCTGTGTAGGTTCTTCCCTGACCCTGCTGTGACCCAGCATAGCACGGGGGTTAGCCCCTGCCCTACGTGGTCTCTGCCAGCTTCCCCTGACAGTGGGTCCAACATAGCGATAGAGTTCTCCCCTTAGCACGTGGCCTCTGCCTTGGCCAATTGTGACAGCATTGTCTGCCAGCTACCGCTTGTCTTGGGCTTCCGTAGGACACAGGCCCTTCAGGACTGCCAAGCACTTGTCCCTTGGCAACTAGTTCAACTTCTGACTGCACCCGATGGTCTCACTGGAGTCTTAAGAGTCTGCTCTGAACATCCTCGCAGTGTGTCGTTCTCACCTCCCACGCTCCGGAAATGGAGAGTGGCAATAAGGGGCCCGATCCTTGTTGTGGCAGCGGAGCCCCCCCCCCCCCCCCCCCGTCCCCCCCCCCCCCCCCCCGAGCCTCATGTAGCCCAGCCTCCAAAGGTCCTGGCTGTCTGAGTCAAGTACCAGAGCTCAGGGTACTTCATCAAACAGGCACTGGCTGGCATCTCCTGGCAGGATCCTGTGACCCACAGAGCCCATTCCACAGCCATGCTCTTCTTCTTACAGGACCTGGAGCGCATGTTCCCTGTCCTCACGCTGCATTTCAACTACATCCGCAAGGACCGGCAGAGGCGCCGATACGTGGTGTTGGACGATGCGCCAGAGCAGTGTCTGCAGGTGCTGAGGGCAGGGGGGCTGCACCTGTGCTGGGAAGGGTTTCATAGATGTTAGGGTTGGAAGGGACCTCAATAGATCATCGAGTCCGACCCCCTGCATAAGCAGGAAAGAGTTCTGGGTCTAGATGACCCCAGCTAAATGCCTATCTAACCTCCTCTTGAAGACCCCCAGGGTAGGGGAGAGCACCACCTCCCTTGGGAGCCCGTTCCAGACCTTGGCCACTCGAACTGTGAAGAAGTTCTTCCTAATGTCCAGTCTAAATCTGCTCTCTGCTAGCTTGTGGCCATTATTTCTTGTAATCCCCGGGGGCGCCTTGGTGAATAAATACTCACCAATTCCCTTCTGTGCACTGGGGTTGGAAGGGCCCGTGTGGCACTGGGGTTGGAAGGGCCCCAGTGCCACATGGCTGCCCTGGCCCTCTGGTCCTGGCCATCCCAGTGCTCTCAAGTGCACTTATGTCTGTGCTGCCCTATAGTCTGCCCCTGACAGCCCAGGGGGCAGCACCAGCATCTGTCCAGCAGGTGCTGCGGAAGCTGGGGCAGGGCACTGGGGATCTGTAGGAGGCAGGGCCCAAGTGTAGAGTGATGCTGGGGTGGGGGACAGGACTCCTGGGTCAGTGGGGTTGAGGGGAGGAGACTCTCAGGTAAAGGCTGGAGCGAGCTGTCCTCTGCCTCCTGGGCTCATGTAGGCCCCACAGCCCAGCCAGGTTCCTGCTCTCCTCTGGACGGGGATCCCTGCAACACGCCAAGCTGAGCAGCTGGAGGGTGGGAGGCACTTCTTCCTCTGCCCCAGGTGCCCGGAGTGCAGGGCTGGGTGGGCCCTTGCTTGGAAGCAGTGTCTGAGCCTGCCCGAGATAGGAGCACTGGTTGTGCTGGTTGAGCCGGGGGTACCCACTGACTCTCTCTGTTCTGTCTTCCCATATTGCTGCCTGCAGTGTGTGCTGGGGGTGCTGTCCCCGGCCCTGGAGGAGAACCTGAGACAGCAGGGCCAGGAGAGAGGTTGCACAAAGCTCCAGTGCCTGAAGTGCCAGCAGGAGTTTGCTCAGCCCCCGGCCCCTCGCCAACAGGGCCTGTGTCCCATGGAGGGCAGAGACTACGCGGGCACAGAGGCCCCAACTCAGGTGGATCAAGGTACAGGGCCAAGCCTGGGACGAGCAAGGACCTGAACAACCCTGGGTCTGGATGGTTCTTGGTGCCTGTGGTCTGTGTCCCTGGGGGAGGTGGCCCCCAGCCCTGTCCTAGATGCTGCTCATGCAGGAGAAGCTGCCAGGTGGAGTGAGGCAGGCTGCGGGCTTCTCCCACCTGAGAGAATAAATAGCTCCCCTGGGTGTCATTTAAACTAAACAGCTGTCTTGTTCCACCACTGGAAGTGGGACCAGCCCAACAATCCCTATTTGGGGTGGGGGGTGAGCCTGGCCACAGCTGTCCGATTCTCAGCCAGACTCCTCCAGAGCCAGACAGGATGGGACTTGAGCCAGGGTCTCCACACCCCAGAGGTGCGCTGGATATCGTGGCAGGCCTGGGAGGGGGTGCCCGCAGGCTCTTTGCTACCCCTTTGCAAGGGGAAGTCTGCTGCTGGCCCAGTCTGAGTTCTGACAGAGCCTCTCCTGCAGATGCTGCTGGGCCTGGCAAGCCAGCGGTCTGCCCCAACTGCTCCAGTGACCACGTGGTCCTCCTGCCTTTGGAGACAGTCTCCAGCATACCTCTGCCTCCCCACCATGACCCAGGCAAGGACAGCCTGAGCGAGGCCCTGTCAGGGCCTGGCCTGCAGGGAGGGTCCCAGCAGGAGGACTTGGAGCCAGCCAGGGTAGAGGTTGCCCAGGGCAAGACGTTCTACATTGGCATGGAGGACAGCTTGGAGATGGACACCAGCACTAGCAGCAAGACCCAGGAGCTCAGCGGGGACCAGGACAGTGCTGCCCACTCCAGCTCCCGCAGCTCGGAGGGGGACTACAGCCGGAGAGAGCACGGCATGAAGAGTCACTACTCCTCCCTCAGCCGGACAGACACCAACGGCGGGAGCCTGATGGGTAGCTACCGCTACGGCACCTCCCGGGCGCCCACCCCCTCCCAGCTGTCCCTGAACTCGGAGTCCGAGGAGACCTGGAACCTCAGTCCCCGTGAGTGGGAGCGGCAGGGGCCAGGGTTTGTGCTGGGCCTGCTGACAGCTGAGGGGAGGAGGCTGCAGTTTGCGGTGGTCTCTGGGGAGAGGGTGGCACTTCAGGAAGGATTGGTGCAGAAGGGACTTCCACACCCGGCAGAGAACAGCTGTGGCCGGGGAGCGCAGGACTCGGAGCTGCTGCCAGTGCTTTGTGGCCTGCTTCTGAACCCCGGCACATTGTGTGTGTGTGGGGCAGGGCCAGGGCCCAGCTGCTCTAGAGTGGGGAAATCCCAGGCATGTGAGTAGCTTCCCCTGGCATGAGATGATGTCAGCAGACACCCGAGGGACTCGCTAGCCCTGTGCACGGTGGCCAGCAGCCTGGGCTGGCGTGGAGCATTCTCTGGTGGGGGGTGGCAGCACCTGCCCTCCAGTATGAGGGCAGTGCCCAGCAGCACACAGGAGCTGTTGCAATGCGCTCCTGCAGTGGGCTACCACCTGCCTCCATGCCTGTCAGCAGCTACCCCTGTATGAACTGCGCAGCGAGCGCTCTCCCCCATGGGACCCCAGATTGTGTGAGCCCCGGCTTCCCATGCCATGTGCCAGAGCCCTTCTGCCATGGCTCTAAGATGCCCAGAGCAGCTGGAGACCTAAAATCCAGCCCCTGACTTGCCCGCCGACTTGCCCTCTGCTAAAAAATTACTGCCTTGGGACTTGGGAGTCCTCCTGGGCATTGGACATTGCAGCCCCACATCCCGTGCATCTCTCCCTGCTCTGATTAGGGCGAAGGGCAGTGGTGCTACCCTGCGAGCGACAGTTGCACAGGTGACCTGGGAGGGACCCTCTCTGGGGAGAGGAGCATGGGAGGGAGGAGGTCCCTGCAGCTGGCGCCCTCCCCCTCGGAGGCAGTCCTGGAGTGGGTGCTGTGGCAAGAAGTCCCTAGGGTCTACTGAAGGACTGGGCTGGACTGGACAAGAGGGGCCTCCCCGCTGCCCCAGCACTGCTCCATTCTGGGGCCTGTTCCAGGCCCTCAGCCACCTTGGGACGGCCCTGACCCATCCCCACTGACCCACCCTCTGCCCCTGCAGCAATGACGGGCATCCTGAGCCCGCAGGACCTGCACACTGTGGACCACCGCCTCAGACTCTACCTGGACATGGACATCTTCGAGGAAAACGTGGAAGAGTTCCAGTGCTTCCTCAAGGTGAGGCGATCCACCCCTGTCTTGCTGTCTGCCCTGCCGGCTCCCGTCTGGTCTGTGGGTGTGGGAGGGGTGTGCAGGTCTCCCCGTGGGGTTGGTGGAGAGAGGGAGTGTCTGGGCCACCCAAACAGCTGGAGCCAGGGGGCTGGGATGTGGGTGTGACCTGCTGTCTGCCGCTCTGTCCAGGTGTCCGTAGTGAAGTTTGGCCGGCCTGGGGAGTTCCCTGCACTTGTGGTGGCCTCGGATCTTAGGATTCATGTGCTGGAAGTTACAGGGGAGATCAGGTGAGGAGCGAGGCCACGGCAGTAGGTGGGAATCCTGGGAGTCTCCCTGCCGTCTGAGTCTGTGCTTGGGGCCCTGCCCATGCTACAGAGGCCCCTGTGGGAATCTGGGGTGTGGGGGGAAGAATGGTGGAGGAGCGAAGAGACCGCAGCGGTGAGGGACTGTTGGTGTCTAGGGGCCAGCCCACGGACTGGCTGACAAAGAGCGACTGCCACGCCCTGTCTGACCTCTGCTACCTGGAGATGGGGCTGGGCCGCCAGAGCCTGCACATGGAGTTTGAGAGCCCAAAGGCCTCCTACAACCTCCTGATCCGAAACCAGCACCGCTGTGACCAGTTCCTGCAGTGTCTAACATGTAAGAGCTTTGGGGCAGAGGGGAGCTGGGGAATGGAGCAGGGCGGAGGGGAATGGGGCACAGCCTAGGTGCTCCAGGCAGGAGGTCTGCCCTCCTGGCAAGAGGCTGCTGCAGGGCAAGGGTGGTGACCCTGTTCCCTGCCAGGCTGAGAATGAGGCAGCACGTTCTCTGTGGTCCTCTGCTGCTGCCAGAGGCCAGAGCGCGGGTTCACTCTGCCTCTCTGCTCCTCTAGACCTCATGCAAGAGCTGCCAGCCAAGAGCAGGAGCCGAGTGACGGAGATCCCCGTGGTCCGGATGAACCCGCAGCATTGGCTGTGGTGAGAGCAGCCTGTGGGGGCATCTGGCCTGGCTCTGGTGAACTGCAGCATGCTCAAAGCACAGCAGCCAGGCTCTGCTCTCTGCTGCCATGAGCGCGGCACCTTCGATGTGCCTGCTTCATGTTCCAGGCCCACTGTGGGCGCTGGCTCCCTATGTGCTCCCCAGGCTGCAGAGTCGGGGGAAGGGGCCCCAGAAGGTGGATGCCCTCGCTGCACTGGCAGGCTTCTGCCAGCAGCTGCCATGTGGAGCAGCCAGTGCATGCAGGCTCCCACCTCACCATTGGGGAAGTGCAGCTGCTGGTGGGAGTGCTGCAGCTGTCAGGAGGCCTGGGCCAAAGCAGTCTTCCGGTCAAGTCTGGAGCTGGCATTGCTGTGCTGGGACAGGGAAGGGCCCATGGCCAAGCAGCATGGGGCTTGGGCGTCCTCAGCTCTGCAGAACTGACTGAGACCAGGGTAGAGAGCATAGCACGAGGCAGGAGGTGGCAGCTGGAGCTGACGGGGCAGGCACAAGGCTGGAGGGAGCCCTGAACAGGGAGGCTTTGAGTCTCCAGTGGGAGGACACCAGTGGACCAAGGCATGTGTACATGCATGGGGGAGCAGGGTGGGGTGGGGGGAGTTCAGCTGCCATGCCCAGCAGGGGCGGGGGGGGTGAGCTGGGAATGACCAGGATGTGATGTAGGGACAGTGAGCAGGTGGTGCCAGGTTCCCTGCCTGATGTGCCCCATCTCTTCCAGGCCCTTTTTGGACTGCAAGGCCCTGGACTCAGCAGCTGGAGACAGCACAGCCCCTGGCTTCTTCTACCTGCTGGCCTACTTGATCCAAGGTACAGAGCTCTGCAGGGGCACAGCTGGCCAGATCTTGCCCAGAGAGCAGGGTGCGGGGGGAGAGGGGCATGGTGAGGCTAAAGCCAGCAGCAAGGCGCCCTATATGAGCCCAGGGGGTGAGGATGATCTAGGGGCAGGGGGTGGGTAGCAGCGCTTCTTCATCACTCTCCTGGACCTGCTGCAGCCCCCTCGGGAGAGGCCGATGGTCAGGGGCTCTGTTCTCAGGGTGCTGTTTAGTTCACTTACAGCATGGTGCTAATGACACTGAGGTTGCAGGTTTGATTCTCCAGTTGGACTCTATGATCTCTTGGGATCCCTTCCAGCCTTACTTTTCTATCATGACTACTTATAAGGCTTTGGTAAACTGGGGAGGGGGGAGAGCCCCAGGTGTGTGTGAGGCAGGAGACCAGGCCCTGACAAAGATGTGGGAGCTGGTTCTGTCCCAAGCCCAAGGTGACTGGACCAGTGCTTGGGGGACCTCAGTGGGGAGTGAGAGCATTGGGTCGTGAATGGCCTCTCCAAGACCATCCAGTCCAGCCCTGCCCTGGGGCAGGATCTGTGTCTTCAGCCCCTCCCTGGCCCATGTTCGTCTCGGCTGTTCTGAAAATTCCCGCGGAGGTGACTGCATATCAGCCTGCCAGGGCTGAAGCACTGGTGCAACCCCCTGACTGCTGGGGAAAGCTTTGCCATCCTCTCCCTCTGCAGATCAGGCTTCCTCCAGGTGTGGAGAGCCAGCGGTCACTGTCCTCTCCAAACACTGGGAGACTTGTGTTCCCTGCAGGCTGTTTTCTAGACACGGCAAAGCTACTCGGGCTCAGCCCGATACTCTGTTTGTGCACCGGAAGGAATTTTCCCTCCTGGTCAGATTGATACGGACTGGGGGGGTTTTGCCTTCCTCTGCATCAGGGGCATGGCTTCGGCCTGGCGTGTCAAGAGCATAAACAACCTTTTATAGAAGCTGGACGTTGGCCGCTGTAGTTCCCCTGCCTTCTCTGTGGGAAGTCTGGGTGTGATGTCAGGGGTGGCGGTCATCTTGCATAGAGTTGAGATGATGGGTTGGACAGGGCTGATCTTGCCTTGGGCAGGGGTTGGACTAGACATGACCTCTGCAGGTCACCTCCAGCTCCACGGCTCTGGCATCATCTGAGACATCCAGTGCCCTGAGCCTCACCTCAGGCTGTTTTCTGAATGTTTTATTGGTGTCGCTGCCTCTGCACTTGCTCCCGTGTCACTGCCCCGAAGGACTCCAGCTGAGGCCTTGCCTGAGCAGAGCACAGTAATTGCTGTCCCCGCCACTTGCCAGTGATGCTCCCAGTTTCCCTGTTTGGCAGCAGCCTCCTGTGCAGTGGGTGTCTGATCTCTGTGACCCCCGTTCTCATATGTGGCGCTACAGCCAGGCCAGCTGCTCCCTCTTTCGTGCCTTGGGTTCCTCCTTCTCACGTGTCATCCTCCATCGACCATCACCTTGTTGCCTTTTGGGTCACGTGTCCCATTTTCCAAGGCCTCTTTAAAGGCCTGGTCAGAATGTGCAGCGCTTGCAGCCCCTTCCAGTTGCTCCCAGTTTGATTGGCAAGGAAGTTCCATGAGCCAAGGCTGTAGCCAGACAAGTTCCAGGTGGAGCAGAGCACTGCTTTGAAACAGCAAGGATTATGAGTGACCACGAGTGATGGATTGATTGTCTGTGTGTTGGACTCTCCAAGTAGACAGAAGCCTCTTGGAAAGTCTGTGACCAAATCCAAGGTGTTGGCTTTGTGCACAGTGCCAGTGAGCTCTCTCCTAGGATGGAGCAGGGTGGAGGGGTCCAAGCCCTGCCCCTTGCGCTCCAGGGCAGGTGGGAAGAAATGTCACACCCCACCCCTCCGTGTGGGAAGTGGGGCTAGGTCCTGTGAACATCTGGGTGCTGAGGGGGCCCTTCTTAGGAGTGCAGCAGCTGGCAGTGGGCCCACTGCAGGGCTGGGGAGTGTTGGAAGTGGTGTGTGATGACTGGGGTCCCTGCGTGGCCAGCACCTGGTCTGTCTCAGTTACACCCCTCCTCTTCATCCTCCCCAGGTGCATCTGCCTTCCCGGTGACACTGCTGAGCACACGCAGCACTCTCTTCCTGTTGGAGGAGAGTCACCAGTGGCAGCAGGGCCAGCCTCTGTCGGGGGGTGCAGACGGGGAGATGGAGCCGGAGCTGGAAAGCGGCGTTCAGGTGAAGGAGAAGCAGCCCCTCAGCAACATCAGCAGCATCATCACCTACCGCTTCTCCCCCTGCAACATCAAGCTGATGCTTTACGACGAGGTAAGCAGGGGGCTCCCCTTCCCCACCCCCATCCAGGCTCGGGCTCCTGCTCCAGGGTCTTGGGCTAAAAGCAGATGTTGCATTGTTTACACACGCCACTTGGAGGGCAATTTAATTAGCCCTGTTGTCCCCCAGGAAAAGGCACTATCTCAGCACTTCTGAGGCACCTGCTTTATGTTATGTGCATTGTGCAATTCAGCAGTTAATTGTGCAATAAATTTAGATCGGTCACATGTGCAAAATAATTACCACACCATGAAATTGAGGATTGAGCTGTAAAAAGAGTCAGCCAGCTAGAGCTAGTGCTTGATGTATGTAACAGCTCCATGGCTGGTTTCTGTCCAGTTTTCATTTGAACATGTGGCAGGGCCTGGAGGGACCTGAAGTGGGACCAGGGGCCTCATCGGTCTATGGGATCCCAGGGGAAAAAGCCTTGTCCTGGGCAAAATTCGATGTCCTAAGGACGCCCTGTTTCAGTGCAGCCCTCCTGCCATCGTGGCTCCATCCTGTACCCTTGTGCAGCTGTGGTGCAAGGGCCTCTCAGGGATGCTCTGTTCAGGGCACCCTCGGGCAAGCACTCCCCCAGCCAGTGGCTCTCAACCTCATGGGCCCTTTCATAGCTCTTCTGAGTAGAGCAGCAGCCAGTTTCAACCCCTCCTTGCAGTAGGGTGGGGAATCGGCCGAGCAGGAATAGGCTTGAGCCTGCACTTACCTGCTCTTCTCCTTCACCTCTCACTCCCTGGTTGTGAGAATCACTGCTCTGAGCCACTGTCTCAGGCCTATCCATGTCCCCAGGCTCATCCCAGGCCTCCCTGGTGCACAGGCTGGGAGTGTGGGCCCTGGCACTGGGCCCCATGTGGCTCAGGGTGGGAGGAGATGGTTTGCATGGAGTCATGGATGTCACCAGCTGATGCCCGCTCCCCCCGCCGAAGAGCGGGGTGGACAGACCTCATCCTGTGAGGCTGGTGTAGTGGGTTTCACAGCAGCCATGGAACTGAACTGTCCTGACCACCCTCCTCCACTCCCTCACCCTCCAGGTGCTGAAGGTGGAGAGCATGTGGCACCTCCGCGCAGAGTGCCCCGAGCTGCTGGCCGAGCTGGTGGAGTGGATCCGTGGCCCCTGGGAGGAGCTGTTCTCCATCAGGCTGCGGCAGGTGGTGCACGAGGCGCTGGAGTGAGCGCGTTGGGCATGTGGTGGCCGAGTGACCCCTACCACGTCCTGCACCCCTGCTTCTGGTGGGTGGTGGCCCCTGTGCCTTCTTCCCCCCCCCATGGGCAGCACCAGCCTCTGTCAGTCCCGTCTGCTCCAGGCCCATGGACATGGCCCCATGGGGGCAGCACTGAGCTGCAGCCTGGCAGCTTCTCACAGCCCTGCTTGAGGGCAGTGGTGACCACCCCGGTCACTTCCTACCTGCCCGATGGGGGCAGAGCCAGTGGGAACTGGGAAGATGGGGCCAGGGAGCATGCAGTGGGGCCAGGCAGTGGCAGGGCCTGGTGCTCTCTTCAGGCTGGGCCCCTGCTGCCCATTCACTGGGCACAGCACTGTCGTCTTCTCCCTGCTGCTGAAACCCCCGGTAGCTTCGTGCTTTGTTCCTCGGCTCCCAATGAGCCTAGCTGTGCACAGGGCTCTGGCTTGCTGATCGAGGGGCCATGTCCCCTGTCCTGGCCAGGCCCTGTACTCAGGGTCTCCTACAGCCTGTGTTAGGGAGGGTGAGGGTTTGCTGGGCAGGACAAGAGCTGTTTATTTTAAATGTGAGTTTTACGGTTTTCTATTGTAATAAAAGCTTCTATTTATCGAGCTCTCGGTCTTCCCCCTGCACCTCTTGCCTCCCTGCTTGGCGCTGAAGCCTGTGGTACAGGTGCACCTGGCTGGAGGCCTACCAGGAGCCACAGGATGCTGCAGGCTGGGGGTGGCCAGGGAAACAGGGCATGTGGCCATGGAGCTGGGGCAGATGCAAATGCCCTGGGCTAGCAGTGGGGATCACTGGGCTCCTGCACGTGCCACTTCCAGTTCTTGGCCCATCCCCAGTGCTGCACCCCTACTGTGCTGCCTCCTACCCTCTATCCCAGCATTGCCCTGATGACCTTCCCTGCTCTGGCCCCGGGATGGTGTGGGGGGCAGGAGCATACAGGCCAGGTCCCCGTGTGCCCCCCGGCCTGGGGCAGAAGTCTGCTGCTCCTTGCAGGGGCTGCAGGGAGGGTAAGAGCTTCCTGCCAGGGCCAGTGTCCTAGCAGCGTGGACGAGGGGGTGAAAAGCACCCTGTTCAAATTTGCGGATGATGCTAAGATATTGGGAGTGGTGGGCTACAACTAGATCTAGACAGGTTACAGGGGTGGGTGGATGGGAATAGGATGGGATTCAATACTGACATGTGCAAGGTGCTGCACCTGGGGAGGAAGAACCAGCAGACCTACAGACTGGGGAACTCCCTTCTCGTCAGCACAAAAGCAGAAAGGTATCTTGGAGTAGTTATAGACTTCAAGATGAACATAGGCTACCAGTGTGGGGATGCGGTCAGGAAGGCCAACCACACCTGGTCATGCATCCACAGATGCATCACGAGCAGGTCCGAGGAGGCACTGGTCAGGCCGCAGCTGGAGTACTGTGTCCAGTTCTGGCAGCCACACTTCAGGAGGGATGTGGACAGCATGGAGAGGGTCCAGAGGAGGCCACCCGCATGATCAGGGGCAGCAGGGCAGGCCCTACGAGGAGAGGCGACGGGACCTGTACCTGTTCAGCCTCCACAAGAGAAGGCTGAGAGGGATCTAGTGGCCATTTACAAACTAGTCGGAGGGGACCAGAGGAGATTGGGTGAAACCCTGTTCCCCTGAGCACTACTTGGAGTAACTGGGAATAATAGCCACAAGCTGACTGAGAGTAGGTTCAGGCTGGACATCAGGAGGCGCTACTTCACAGTCAGGGCGGCTAGGATCTGGAACCAGCTTCCAAGGGAAGTGGTGCTTGCCCCTACCCTGGGGGGCTTCAAAAGGAGGCTGGATAATCACCTAGCCAGGGTCGTTTGACCCTAGCATGCTTTCCTGCCATGGCAGGGGGGCGGGCTTGATGATCTTCTCAGGTGCCCT